AGAAATAAACAGACGCATATAAAATGCCTTTGATCTTGAACCATACCACATTTTAAACCCAAGAAATTTACCAGTAAACATCCTTACAATGTTAAAAATAACTTCATTGCCAATCACTGCTAATTTTGATGATTCGATGAAACCATCATGGATGTCACATGGGCAGCAAGTTCATTTACCATCAAATATATCTTTTAAAAAATTAAATATGCGGAAAATTCCAAGCCATCTACAAATTGAAGAGGTTTGGCTAGTCGACACCGTTCGGGGACATACCAGACTGTCATAAAAGGAAGCTGCTGCTGGGGCAGTGAAGTTCCTGGACTGGCAGTGAAAGATAAATTGTTCGTTTGCTAGCTCTCAAGTCTAATACGGCAGCTGGACGGTATTTTTCCCCAGAACGTCGAGCATGCCTCCAGCCATATCTGAACATTTTGAAGTCATATTTTCACCTGTGTACTCCACAATGAGACGCAAGTGGAGTGCGATATACAGAAAAAAACTTTACTTTTTCTGAAGATATATATGTAATTTGTTTTTGCTTCAAGAATACAAAAACACGATCTTTCAGGTCGACATTCATTCAGAAACCGCCATGGTCTGTGCGTTCTAAAGTTTTCATTCATGGAATCTGGGCTGTGGCAATGTGCTGCAAAGGATTTGGTTATTTCTTACCAGTGGTCATATTAGTAAGTATTTAAAGTAAACATCATGACAGTGGTATGTTTCACATGTTTAATAGTTTTAATAGCATTCAATTAAACGTCCCTTTAAATCAATGGTAAAGAGCTGATGCGATTTTATTGTCTTTAATTTCAAAAATAGAATTACGCCGCAAGAACCCCATCACTAGTGTGACTGACAATTTTGAAACTTAGGACACGAAAACAGGTTAACCGATTAAAATGATTTTCTCAGCAGTTTTCGAAACAGTAAAGACGTTTAACGAAAACCCATTTTTGCCGTCTGAAGATCTATACTTCTTGCTTTTAAAGACCCCTTGGTTAAACAGAGGGATTGACAACGGGTAAGAAGCGCTTGGACGTCGCTGTAAAAACAGTGTTTAGCACTAAACACATTTCTAAGCACCTGTTATGTCTCATTTTTTCGATGCGTTTAGCTCCTAAGCACATTAAGCTCCTTAATATGTTACACGCTTTGACGCGTGTGACGCCTATTAAATGTAGGATGTATTTGCTTAACTTTTAGGTGGTAAGGGTTTCAACTGTTTTAGTCACACACACACAAAGTCACGGTCACCTTTAACTGCTATAGCTATCTCTTTGTATAACAGGGTACCGTGAACTGTCAACAACGTTGATTTCACACCGTCACCTTTATTCATCCTTGTGTTAGCTGACCTTGCGAGGAAGTTTATTGGAATATGTTTCTGAAAATCAAGTTAGGAAAATTCACTAGGTTACTAAAGACACGAAACAGCTATCACTTTTACTTTAAAACATTTTTTTCATATTTTGATAAAATGCGTAACGGTATTGATGTCTATTTATTTTTTTTCCGGAAGTAATGAACAATAGAACATCAGGATGATGGTGGGGTATTCATTATAATGGTTTATTTGAGCTTTCATCGCATGCTGGTAACGATATTTAACAAATCGCACCGCTCTTGTCAGCTATGTACTAACCCCAAGCCCAATTTGGAATTAACCGCTAACTGTAGTTCATACAGCACTAAGATCTAATAAACGGATATATTAGATCTTAGTACAGCATAAGACGTGTTTTGGTTATTTATAAAAAAGGTTTTCAAAACATTAAATAATGTTTTTCCAGAATGTTATAAAACGCTTATAAAATCGCAGGGGCATCTTTTTGCATGTAGTTAAAAACACCCATAACGTTACCATAACGTTATTCTATACCATCACCATCATGTAACCAGCTGATAACGTCGTGAATTTGTTATTTGGATTATTACTCAATAGGCCAATTTTACATAATCACACCTTATACCCCCTTTACACTGGACAGCGTCCTTTCTGCGTCCTCTCTGCGACCATGAAATTTGGCAACGCTGTGGTCTTAATAAGGAGGCACAAGCATTGATTTTGTATCAGAATGAATGCTCAATGATCAGCCAGTTGTCGGCACGAAAAGTATTATAATTTTTTAACTCTCAAATTGGGCGGGACTGCTGAACGCAGAAATGACGCCGTCCAGTGTAAAGGGGGCTTTACTGCAAGGAAGGACACAATGCGTTCGAGCAGGCTGCTCCACGCCTCCAACAGCTCCATACGTTTACAGGGCAGAAATCACCAAATAATTTCCCATTAACGACCATACTAAGAAATGCCTGCAAAACTGCATGAAGAAAATTACTCTGTGAAACATTTGCCATCCCCATGGACAGCAGACAGACTGACATAACTCCCAATGGCAAAAAAATATATTGTCATCAAGTCCACTGTCTTACCGGCATCACTTGAACATGTGCACCCCTCTGTTTGTAAACAAACCACTGCACCACTCACAGTCAGTAGCCCCCTCCGCCAGAGGTCTCACGACTGCACCGCACCTGTGCCTGGTCCTGAAAAAAAAAACTGGCAGTAGACCTACACCCTAGCCTGCTAGTTGATACCAAAATTAACCCTAGCAACACACAAGAAATGCCAGGAAAAAAATGGTAAAAAGCACTCATTTTCTCTCACTGAACTACATTGGTCTATAACAGTCGGTGATTGGCTGATTTAGTGGTTTTTGCCCTTCAAGGGGAAGTTTTAAGCCATATTGTTGAGTCTTGTAATAAACTTGTTATGGGATCGTATACATGGGATTGTGAAGTATTTTTATTCTGTGACAAGCTTGAAAAGCTAAACGTGTTGTTCAGCAGCTCCACGCGTTTAGGAATTCCACACCTAAAGCAGCTCCATATGTTTAGCAGCCTCACGCGCTTAGCAGGGGAAGTGCTTAGCCAATGTGCTTAGCTTGTGATAGACTTGTTATGCCGGTGTAACGAAACTGAGGGTCCGTGTAACAGAAAGTCTGCCCTCCATTATAATTAGTTTGACCTAAGTGGGTGGAAATCTAGGACGAGGCTCACCTGTACAAATGAATGGAAAGCGGACTCTCTGTTATGGGGGACTCTCTGTCACGTTACACCGGTGTGGCGTGTCCCGCTCGGAGCGTGAACCATCCGTTCTGCTCATGCGCACAAAGCGCAGGCAAATCTGAGAGCCTTCCGGCGTGTACAGTCCGTCTCTATAGAGTCATCAATACATTCGTAGCCTTTAATAAACTGTTGAGAACATACTGTAAATTCAAACATAATCTTTAGAAGTATTCATATATTTCTTATAGACGTTCACCTCTACTGCGATTTCCGTTAAGTGGCCATATCAACACACTAGCCTAATAAAATCAATACTAAAATAGTAGCCAGCAGCTGAATAACGACGGCCTGTCCACGGTAGGTTCATCCATGCGTCAAACTGTAATTTGACGCTGATTCTCTATCAAAATTATCAATTAACACATGAATTTTATCCCCATCATAGTAAATGTATAATGTGGAAGGAAATGAACTAGCCGAATATAACAGTACAGGTAAAAAAGAACGGATCATTCACGGAACGGCTCATACATGCGTCTGCTGCGTGTACAGTCGGTCAGAAGGGATGGTTCACGCAGAACGGACCGTACACGTGACACCGGTGAAGCTAAACACATAGCTAAACGTGTAACACTGCCAACGTGTCTAGCTTTTTCTTCTGTGAAACGCTTGAAAAGCTATACGTGCTTAGCTTTTACACATATTTCTAAATGCGTATAGGTGCCTAACGTGTGTTGTATGTATTTAAATGCTAAACACTGTTTTTACCGTGTAGTACAAAGAGAGATAGAGTGTGCTTCCCAATCTCTACCAAACAGCTTACAGCGTGTGATAATAGGTTTTCAAATAATTCCCGGTTGATTATGATGCTGAAATTTATTTGCAGTTGGATTTTGAGTTTGATATAGTATGCTCATTGTTTTCCACGGGTTTCGTTTCTTCAGCCAAAACATTTGATTGACCTTGCATATACAGAAGACGACGCAGTGAAGGTTTTAACAGTATTTGGAATGATGGGCATGATTGGACAGACGTTTGCCTCATTTGTTGGGGATTATGTGAAGGGATATATTATGGTTGCAAACTCTATGGCAGCTACGGTGCTCATTGTGAATTATATTATTGCAGCATATTCGACATCTTTGACTGCTTCATATGTGTATTGTGCTGGTGGGTGTGTTTTTAGTAACTGAATTATGACCTTTGTGATAAATATTTTCTAACGTCATTTTGGGCACAGTGCTTTTAATTTGTCAAGAATCTAGCAAAATATTTTTACTCGCATGTGAATTTTTTTAGTATATAGGTACGCTAGAATTTAACTGCGCATTCACGTGCCATGGCTACCGTTCTTACAGACAGAACAGGATGAGATTATAGTCACATTATAGAATTTTACGTGGCAATTATTCTAAACAAAGCTTTAAATAATTTTTCTAGTCACTGGGTTTGTACTTGGCCCATACCTTGCCGGATATTATCCAGTCAACAATGAAATCATGGACGGAGAAAATATCGATACGTTATTCATGACGATGCGTTTCAGCAAAGGTGTTGGAGGTACTGTGGGACCCTACTTGGCAGGTAGGTCCACTTGTTACAGATTTACAATTCCCCGTGAACTGCCAGGTTAATTTCCGAAATGAAGAATTCATTTAAAGAACTAATGCCAGAGTGATATATATAATATTGTGAATAGAAGAGCAAATAGTTTTTATTTCACGGTCATTAATATATGCAAAATACGATTTTGAAAAAAAATTTACATGACAAATTTGTATTTATCACTAATGTAAACATTGCAATATGGATTTATTTGTTCACAGTGGCTAGAAAGAGGGAGATTTTATTGTACCAATGCTCTGCTGTTGGATTCTTTTATCGTTGTGCTACTGGTATTTGTCATTTATACCCATACTATTTTTCAGGACACATTCGTGGCGTCACAGGTAGCTACTATGCAGTGTTCCTGTCCATTGCGTCATGTTTTGGCGTGTTCGTTTTTGCACTTTCTTTGCTTATATACATCAGGAAGTGGAGGAGTTTGAAAAGTTTGGAAGGGATGAGGGACGTCAATGCGTTTAATTGAATAATTTGTCCACGTTTTTACGCGGTGGATTACTTTTTACAAATAAACCCTGAAAGATGGTTCAAACTTTATTACTTTGGCATTTCCGCCCCATATTATATATCTACACATATTTAAGATCTCGTATGTCACCCCACAAGCTGGGATATTCAGAACAACATGATAATTGCAAGGACATGAACGGCTTAAGGTCTCGTATGTCAATATTCCCAGTCGATTCTGATAGAATGTTGCAGTAGATTTGACGTTCTATTTCCAGTGCAGCCAAGCTGAGATTTATAGTTTGAAATTGTTAGCGTGAAAATAATCTCAATAATGCTACTAGGCCCTGACACGTACGCTTTGACTGGTCGCGATGACAATGTGGGGCATTGGTAAATCTTGGGTGACTAGAAGAGATGTTATTAGTCAGATTTTGTCAATGAAAATCTTGACATTAAATCTGTTAATCCGCCAGACTTAATATGTTAAAACGTTGTTCTTTTAAGACGGTTTATCTTTTATATTATTTCACATGTGATATGTTAAAGCCAAGATATATGTTACTACCGTTACTTGTCTTCTTTGTTCAAGATAAAGGATTATTATTATTATTATTATTATATTAGCGCCTATACTCTTACCAAAAATCATTTTTGTATAAATTAAATATTATTTTGTATACAAAGTATTTGTTTATTAAGTCTGGTATAAAAAGTGGCCATCCGTTGCTCTCTTTGTATTCAGGCTAGGTGTGGCATTTGTAGCAATGCACCCTTGTTCAAAATTAGCAAAATTATATGCTAAATATCTCCCGAACCAAAGGAATTGTGGGAATACTTTCTGTAGATGGCTGACCGAATGTCATACATGGAGATTCCAAATATGTCCTTAGATTTGACCTTTGACCTTCATTTCAAGGTCAAACGGGCCAAAATTTTCTAAAAATGGAATTTTTTGCCAAAAAATTATTTGTTCTGATTTTCAGAAACTACACACGTCTAGCCTATGATATTATCGGCAGGTGTTCCACTTAGGGTATTCTTTCATCTTTTTGAGTTTGGGGTCAATCAGTTCATTTTCACGGGAGAAGCAGCCATTAGATGCCGAACCTGAAAACTCTGTGATATGATACTATTTTCATTCCTATTATTTCCTTTTAACTCTCCATATTTATTCTGATAATTATTCTATTATTCTAATTCATTCTTTTGGCAGTTCTTTTTCATTATTCAAATAATATTCATTAAATTGGACACACACACACACACACACACACACACACACACACAGCATCCCTACCTGCAGAGATTTATACTGGTAATTTTATTTTGTGGCCATTTTCTTGTCTCATTTATCTGATCGCAGACAACTGTCTTGCTGGAATGCTGATTTCACTGATACTCATCAAAATTTGTCTTTATCGTGTACATTTCAAAAGGCTTCGAGGATGTTTATTTCTCATCCCAGCATCCATCGCCAGAGAAAATTCACACCGGAACAAATTATTTTGTTCATGAGACACATATTTAATTGTACTTACTAAATGTGAGATGACAAAAAAAAAAGTTAAAAGCCGTCTTATAAAACATTGGCGCCCTGTTTTGTATTTGATGAAAACGTTTGGAAGTTTTGATCCTTTGATTCACAAAGCCGCATCAGACATAAGGGCATCTCTTGATGTCGACAGAGAGTGAGCAACCATTTACGCATTCATTAAAGTGCTTGCTACCTACATCTTCCGTCTGTTATCTCATCGGCTTACCGAGACACAAATTTATAAAGCATTTTTGGGGTTTGTTTCTATAAAAATTCTGCAAATGCCAGATAAGCCGTTGTCATGTCCCCGAATAGCTTATGAAAAATGTATATACAGTATATGCGTATTTATCAATATATTTTTAACGAGGCTGTTAAGTAAAACTTGGTTCACTACGTTCATTAGTAACTTTTTAGATATGTCTAAAGCAATTGCAGCATCAGAGCAGTCACAGTACATCAGTAATTATGCATTTGATCCGAAGTTATTGTGGCGAATCAGCTGAGGATCCAAAGCAGCATTATCCAACCGTGGCAGTCTAACAATTAATTTCCCTACAACTTATTACAGCAGTCGCCATATGCAACTTTAATATTACCAAAACGGCCACCGTGGTTTAAGACCACTTTCGAAGCAAAGTGTTTTTTGACTGAGAATCGCGGCTACTTTGGACATGAAGCAAATGACGTTCCATCATCGATGTAGATTGTCCATTGTCAGCAGTTACACTATAAGTGAATTAATTTACCAAATATTGACCAAATACTGAGTTCATATCAGATTACAACCGAACGATTTGATTGCTTTTTACACTAAAAAGGATCCTACCTTTGTCAGCTTGAAAAGAAACTTGATGTAACAGTCTCATAAACCGATTATCAAGCACGGTTTCTAATTTCCAATAGTTTCCTAACTAAAAAACAGAACTTTACGTGCATATATTTAAAAACTCACAAACTGAAAGACGCAAACTTTGCCATCGCTTTCATACAGCCACATCAAAGCTATTGCGCACAACAAACAATCAATAAAGAGCCCAAAGGCTGCCTTTCATGATGTAAAAGGACTGCTTAGTTTTCCACCGATATCACGTTTACGTGGGGGTAGAAACAGCTTCATTTTGCTACTACCAGCATTTTCTAATCTCTTTGAATTTTTTCTTTGGCAAGGGTTTTATTATGAATATAAGTGAATGCTTGTTATTCACTTGCATCATTCTGTTCCTCAGAACACCTAGAGCAAAGACGAGAGTATTGCAGTGCATTTGAGTGAACGTGTAAGTATTATTCCTCTTGCATTATAACTTAAGCCTAGGTAACATTTGCCATCGTCCATACGGTGCATGTTTGCTGCCAGTGACACTATTTCAGCACGATGACAGTGCTGAAGCAGGTGATCTCCATGCGAAATTGTGCTGATTCACGACCTCCGTGGCTTCTACGATTTTCAAGCTTAAACTTTTGACAAATTTTGAAAAACCTAAGCCCGAAGACTGTGGGAATATCGGTCGCAGATGGCATTGCACAGATTCCTTTCACCTGTCATATCAGCTTTTTAGTGCAGAATAATTATAACCATTACAGTTATATTTATAGACACTAAGTTTGTATGTTTCTGATTGCACATGTCTGTCATTGTGGTCACCTCGCCAGTGGCCATAACCGTTCGACACATTTGTTCGCACTATACTAAACCGATTCTCTACTTTTGATTTGCGAGGAGATGTATTATTTGGCAAAATGGCTTGCTCACTTAGAAAATCAGCATGTCCGGCTTATTTTTAGCTAGTAGACTTATTTTTGTCTAATTTTCATAAGCGAATGTGGTGTTTTGCGATCCTGTGTTGTTAAATATTTTTAACCTTATAGCTTGTATGTTATTTTATGTAAGAAGTTGTTACATTTCAAAGTTGTATCAAAAATAAAAAAAAAGTTATTTTGTTTTCTGTTAAAGGAACTCTTTTTTTAGGTTTATATGAACAATTTAGTCTTTTAATTGATACCGGGTATGTGCTATCCTTCAGAAGGAGTCATTATTAGTTTGGTAATTTACTCATTATGTCCGTTATTTTATAATCAGAGGACAGGCCTCTGTCATTTCCATTCTGTTATTTTACTGATGTATTTCTTGTATAGAATATCTGTTCCTGGTAGAATTAAAGCAGTTGTTTTCAGTTTCTTTGTTTAATGTCTTAATATTGGCCTTAAACGGCACCTACGTATTTAGTTGCAATATAAATCTGTTATAAGTCCATGGTCGCTCTTTGTGCCATAGTATTCTTAACCATGCGAGAGGCATGTCAAGCGTAAAAAAACAAGTTCCCTGCAATGATAGCGTCAATAAGCATGCAATGCTATCTTATAAATAATACAGATTATATTTACCTCAAAAATTTCAGAAAATGACTGGAACTCTAGCCGCCATATTGGTGGTAGCCTGTGTTATGGCCACTATCATACAGGAAGCCGAGGCAGCCTGTTGTCGTAAAGATAGAGGATGGTATTGCGCAGACTGCACGAAGGTGGGCATATAGTTTTTTGTTTGCTTTTTATTGTTACCACCGTTGAACTTATTGTCCGTTACTTCAGATAGTAATGTGGATGTAAGGTCTTGATGTACCTTAGGTTAAAAATTGACTAATGATACACTGTCAGGCGATCAAATTGTTTCATGCCAAATATCACCTGTCTCTCCACATATTTTTTACGTTTCGGTTCTATAGGCACATCTTTGCACTAAGATACGGTTAATCGGTTCGTTTAAAAGAGTATTCAAAGACCTGAAAGGCAAAGCCGTGGAAAGATTTACTTTGAAGCAACCCGCAAACTGCAAAATGAGCAAGATAATTCTTAACATATAAGCGTGGCTTGTACTACTGAACGAGATGTAAAATTTGCCCCGTCCCTTACACACAACGCAATAAAAAATCAATATGTTATACCTCTTGTGAAATTCTAGTTTTTTGTTTGACCAGTAGCAATTAATGTTTTATTATATATATCACTCCTGTGCTTTACTTCAGTGCATATTTTAAAACAACATACCGTTAAAGCTTCAGTGGCCCTGATTCATTTTACACTGTCAAAGGAAATTTCCAAGATAATTATTTAGTTTTTTGCTCAGTGTGTATTGTTGATAATATCTATGCAAAGAGGCATCATTATGAATATTAATTATATTTAGCAGATGAGAGAATACTGTAAACGAAATGGCTGCACTTGAGAGTGTTTTCCCGAGTACTGGCGAATTTGTCAAAGGTAACCTCCATGGTCAGGATACGCACCAAAGAGCAGATCAAGTATAACTGCAGTATTTTAAGATATCTTTGAGGCTATACCCTAGGTTCTAGATTTCGGTATTGCCAGCTCGATCTTGGTTTCATATTTAAACCACGGCTAGTGCGTAGAACAAAATACTCGGCCGTGCTGTATTCGACATACAAACACGTCATGTTCGAGTGCGTTCCACGGTCTGTTGCATTCCCGTCACTCACTAGTGTAGCAACCTGCCGCTCGACAATACACTCGTAATATTTCACGTACAGCTCGGCCACTCCTATTGTATCTATCACATAACCCACATCAGCAATACTGCACTGTAAAGTTGTGTTGATTTTGTGCTAATCAAAATTACAGAAATAATATGAAAAAAGGTAAGCTTTCCATCAGACACGGACTAAACAGGATTTAAGAGCCCCTCCACTTTCTCATCATCTCTCCTTAAACAGTACAGAACATTCTAATCCCAGTACATGTCACGTGAGCCGCGTTCTCCAATCCAGAGGATGCTATGCAAAATACTAAACTTTGATTTTTTTAATGTTGTCATTTTCTCCATTAGTTGTTCAACAATTAAGTCTTTGTGAAAAAATTCCTTTAGAAGTAGAATGAGATCATTCGTTAATGACTGTTTTTCTTTGTCACTTCACACTTTGAAGTATGGGGTGACACTTTTTTGGTAGGGATGTATATATATCCAAAGCTATTTTAAACATTTATGTTTATGTTTATATGAAGATGGGATTGAAACTAATAAAAAGAAAATAGAAATTAAAAGAGACATAAATTTACCAAAGTGATCTTTGAAATAAGAAGCAGAGGTTTTTTTTAATTTCTCATTATGCCTTCAGAATTGTTGTTTTTCTTTCCGCCTTCGTTGAATTTACCCACTTGGTCATAGTAATGTATTGGGACTTCCTTGTTGTTTCACGTTATTCAGCTACATGTAATAAGAGCATCATTTTACAACCTATCCTTTGTAATACGGATTCCAACTTGTTCGCATTAAGCACTCCTATACTTTACAGCCATCACTTCACTGGTTTACAATATTTAACTAGAAAAGCTCTCAGAGAGCGCAGACCTCCGCCAAGGCAGCAAAGTCTTCATCCAATGCCGTTTCACCCCTAAATTTTCGATATATTTTATCATTGATTATTGATTGATTTTTGCTCCGGATCATCACCAAAAACTAATCATCTGTGTCTTGGCCCACTTCTGACAGTTCCTGAAAATTTCATCAAAATCGATCCATAACTTTTTTGAGTTATGTTGATGACAGACAGACAGAAAGGCAAACAGGGGTGAAAACATAACCTCCTTGGCGGAGGTAAAAATATTGTACAAACAAAACTTAAGTCCAGGTTCTCCTTGAGGACACTGGCTTCGAGAGCATACATGAGCTTGCCAGTGTCATGGAGAACCGTAGGGTAGAAATCTATTTATGCTGTTGGTTAATTAATGAAGTTGATGGTCGACTGCGACCGATATGATTGATATTGACTGATTGAATATTGTAATTTTTCTTCCAGGCGACTCCATATTGCGGATATGGGAGTTGCAATATTTTTGGCTGCGCTTGCAAAGACGGTTGTCGCAAGAGCTGCAATCCCACATACCAGTATGAGTATGTATTCAAGATATCAAAGTCCGTGTTATATTCTTCTCTTTCCTCGGTTGGTTTATTGTACCANTAAGGTCATTAATAATCTTCAGACTAGACTTATGGATTATGTCCTTGCACATGACAAGGTTTTGATATTATGGTCTGGACGTCAAGCTGTCACCTGTGTCTGACACCGTGTACGTTCTCAGTCAGATATGCTATATCTGTTTAAATGTTTACTATTATTTCTTTCAGTTCACTGTGCAGCGGCAGTAGGTGATGGATTCAAAGTCTGTCCAAATACACTAACAGCCTACTCCACGATAACAAAGAGCCACAAGGCCAGGTAAATAATAATAACAATTAAAATAATTTTTATTTCTTATAAAGCATCCTCCCATTTCATTACACTTTACATAAATATACTTTACAAATTGAATTTCTTTAAATACAGTACCATGCAGTATAAACAATAATACAATACTGATTTTTAAATAAACTTTGAAAGTAAAAAAAAAAAAAAACGTTCGTGATTTTTGAAGATGCTTCATTGCTTCCATAATTAAAGAGCTTGTAGTAATTATAATTATTGTGTGTTTTGGCCAAAAAAAAGTTTCCTGGGATAAACAATGATTTTCCATACTAACCAATGGTTAATGAATCCGCTCATGACTACATTTAAAGCTACTCCGTGCTTTTTTCCTAAAAAGTTCATTTTTTTGTTTGGTTTTTATCTCTTAAGAGATTATTAAGGTTCCATGTGATCTGATGGCAAGCACAAATCCCTGAATAATTGCAATAATCCCTGTTAAGGCAGTAAAATATATTTTTTTAAAATTTTTGTGAGTTGCTTACAATGTTTTTATTGTGAAATATGAATCTCATTTATAGAGTTATTTTCCCTTTAATTTTGACTTTTTATTTTAAACAATTTCTAGGCATAAATAGTAAAAACTATGCATCAACAAACTTTCAAAAAATTTGTTGTCAGGTGTTACCAGTTTGTTGATAAAGAAGTCATGTGGGACAAGGCCAGAGACATCTGTTCTGGAGCAGGTGGGAAATTAGCAGAAATATATGATCTTTCCACTGCAAAGTTCCTCAGGTCCACATTGAACGGGATGACTTCGTGGGACAATGAAGGAGTTTGGATTGGAGGCAGAAAGAAGAGTGGAAAGTGGTATTGGGCCACAGGCAAGTGTTCAGTATATATTGTATATATTGTATATGATATAATATATTATGATTTTTATGTTTAATGCAGTTCTATGTGCTACTCTCCCTTCTCTCCTAATCTCTGACTCACAACTTGGGACCCCACAAAACTATTAATGATTATAATGTTTAAACTTAAATTATTGTACCGCCAGCGTTAGCGCTGGCGGTACACATGGTTTTAGTCCGGTCCGGTCCGTTCCGCCGGCTCCTGCGGCTCCGCCGCCATGTTACCGTTACCGCTTCTCCTCCTAGACGGTAAGGGCCCCCATACCCATCTCTTGGATTTAGGTCACCTATAATCTCAACTCGTTCCACGTAAAATTTGGGCTTTGTCGGTATTGGGGTCTAGGTGTGCCATTCATTGCAATGCACCCTTGTCCTAAAATGGCAAAATTAAATGCTAATTATCTACCCTACAGAAGGAAGAATGGGAAAAATTTCTACAGACGGCTTTCCAAAAGTCATATGTGCAGATTTCAAATATGCCCTTGGATTTGACCTTTGACCTTTATTTCAAGGTCAAACAGGCCAAATTTTTCAAAAAAATGAATTTTTTTACGAAAAAAATTTATTTGCGCTGTTATTCAGACACCACACAGACTTAACTAATAATATTATTGGAAAATGATACCCTTCAGGTCATCTTTCATCTCTGTGAATTTGGGGTCAATCGGTGCATTTTAACGGGAGTAGCGGCCATAAGATACCGAAACTGAAAACTGTCTCTAATTCGGGAACCGTTCATGCTAGAGACCCATTCTTTTTTGCATTTTGTAGAGCATGTAAAGCCCAACACTGAAAGTGGTCTCCGTTTTTTTGTATTTCATACGGTTTTCGAGCTACGCTGTATCAAAAAGTATACATTGGTGGTGAAAGCAAAATGTGCAGTACGGTAATGGATAATAAATTTTGAACTCTGGAAAAATAAAACATAAGGCTTGGCAAAGCAGACAACTTGTGGTCAAAAATGACATTATTTCATGAAATTTGAACTTCTGGAACTTCAGAGCACCTCCCATTTCAAGAATTTCGACCAAAATGACCTTTTCTTTATTTTAATTAATTTTTTCTGTAGGAAATTTATGGCACATTATGGTAACTCCAAAATTATAACATTTAGTCCCTTATATCTCCAAAACTGGCAGAGATAGGTCCATAGTTACTATTGAAGTTGAATAGGAAGTCATATACTGGCAATCTAACTGTGACCTTGAAATTGACCTTTGACCTACTTTTCACCATGAATGAACTTTGAAATTTTGCTTCCCTTTTATCTCCAAAACTAGCAGAGATAGGTCCATAGTTACTATTGAAGTTGAATAGGAAGTCATATACTGGCAATCTAAATAAAACCTTTAAATTGACCTTTGACCTACTTTTCACCATGAACTGAACTCTGCGTATTAGTACCACCAGCGTGTACGCTGGCGGTACTCATGGTTTTAGTCCCGACCCGTATCATACGGCTCCGCCGGCTCCGTAAGCTCCGCCGGCTCCACAGGGTGGCGTGGGATACAAGTCACCGTTACCGCTTCTCCTCCTAGACCACACAGACCTGTGTCCCCATCTCTTGGATTTAGGTCACATATAATCTCAACTTGAACCCCCTGGTTTTTTGTCTCAGTCGGTGCATTCGCTTGGGCGTGACACTCGATGAAATGCACCCTTGTCAAATTTTTTGAAAATTCAATGCTATATATCTCCTAAACGGAAGGAATTATGGGAAAAATTAGTATAGAAGTCTGACTGAAAGTCATATATGAGGATTTCAAATATGCCTACGGATTTGACCTTTGACCTTTTTTACAAGGTCAAACAGGCCAAAATTTTCTAAAAATAGGAATTTTTTGCAAAAAAACTTTTATTTGTGCCAAATTTCAGAAACTACACAGAGTTTAGCACTTATATTATAGTGAGGGGATGCAATTAGTGACTCCTTTCATCTTTGGGAGTTTGGGGTCAATCGGTGCATTTTCATGGGAGAAACGGCCATAACATGCCGAAACTGAAAACTGTCCCTAAATCTGGAACCGTAAATGCTAGAGACCTCTTTTTTTTTGCATTATGCAGAGCTTCTCAAGTGCAATACTGGAGGTGGTGTCCATTTTTTTTGTTTGCGATACGGTCAAGGAGTTGCGCTATATCAAAAAGTACAACTGAGCATTTTCAGTGGTGAAAATAAAATGTGAAATACTCCAAAAGTAGCTGAGATACACCCATGGTTACTTTTGAACTTTAATAGGAAGTCATTAGAGGCAATTTACTGTGACCTTGAAATTTACCTTCAACCTACTTTTCACCATGAACTGAACTTTGCAATTTTTCTATCCCTTATATCTCCAAAACTAGCAGAGATAAACCCATAGTTACTATTGAAGTTGAATAGGAAGTCATATACTGGCAATCTAACTGTGACCTTGAAATTTCCCTTTGATCTACTTTTCACCGTGAACTGAACTTTGCAATTTTTCCATCCCTTATATCACCAAAACTAGCAGAGATACACCCATAGTTACTATTGAACTTGAATAGGAAGTCACATACTGACAATCTAACTGTGACCTTGAAATTGACCTTTGACCTTCTTTTCACCATGCCCTGAACTTTGCAATTTTTCCATCTCTTTTATCTCCAATACTGGCAGAGATACACCCATGGTTACTTTTGAACTTGAATGGGAAGTCATATGCTGGACATCTAACTGTCACATTTAAATTGACCTTTGACCTTCTTTTCACCATGAACTGAACTTTTTTCTTTTGGGGGAAGGGGCATGTTTCTTGTCTTGTTTATTGCATTTTGAAGAGCTTGTCAAACACAACATTGGTGGTTGTTCCTGTTTGTTTTTGGTTTTCCATACGAATGCGCTTACTCCAGCTGGTGGTACAATGTCCGGAGGCGGTATCGCCTCTCTGATCCTCTAGTTGTAGTACGGCCCCGTTTGAGAGTAAAACAAAAAGTAATACTTTCCGTGCCGACAACTGGCCGATCACTGAGCATTCATTCTGAAACGAAAGCGATGCTTGTGCTTCCTTTCCTCCACCACAGCGATGCCAGTTCATGGTCACACAATAGACGCAGAAAGGACGCCGTCCAGTGTAAAGGGGGGTTTAATGAATTTTGAGTTAATAAAAACAGCGATGGTAACAGCAACATATGGATGTCTAGAGGTAATATAATCAAGATACCGTGCATGTAATGGACTAAATAATTTACGCAAATATTTAAATCCTTTCAGACGGTTTCTCCTTGATCCGGTCGGATGTAAGTGTTCGAAGAAACGCTCAATGTCGGATGGAAGCGGTGGCGTTATTGATCTTATGGACGCAGTCAGTGATTTTGACACAGACAGGTATGGAGTAGAAACTGCAAATACATGTATATATAAAACACATTGGACACTTTGTTATTTATTTATTTATTTATTTATTTATTTATTGTTGTTGTTGTTGTTGCTGTTGGCTATAACCACAGCAGAAGTACACATCAATATACATGTGCGTGGTCATTAAAAAGTATTTTATTCATATTGTAAAATATTATTTTTTTTGTTGTTGTCATGGTTAATTTCATGAATATGAACATGTTCTTATCCTGCGGTTTACGTTATTTCCAAAATGAATATGTATATAAATTCTTTTTCAGAGGTGATTACATGCGTAATTGATTTTGGAGAATTTGACCTGGATCTGAAAAAAGCAATTGAATGACAGTAGTCACAGCATTTAGATGAAATCTGGCTATAGCTTGCTCGTACAACACATCTTATTTTCAGCTTTAAATTAAAAAAAATTAATTGGTTAATCTTGTCACTGAATTTTGATTGTTGAATAGCTGCTTTTCGTTCTCTTTTGCTCATTTCTGTAAAACTATTTCTTTACGCAATAAAGCGCTAGCTCAAATTTAAAGTTTTGGAATGGTCTTTAGGTATAGTGCAATTTAAAAAGGAATATGAAGATCAATCGGGTAAGTGATGTTAGTGCCACTGGATTGTGAATACGAAATGAGCATCTATAGACTACGGCACCTGGCGCAGTCAATAGGGTATTTTGTTTGCATCCTGCATATTCGATTAACTTTAAGTAGTAAAAACAACTAAATCTAGAGAACTACATGGAAAAAACACCTACTTCCATAACAGAGACTGCCATTGTACAACTACTGGTGAATAAAAAATCATGAGTATAAATTAAATGTCTTCAATTGATAAGAACTAAATATAAATAAATTTCAGTAAATGCAACGGTGAAATACATACGGAAAGGCAAAGGAAATATATCAAGAAAAAAACAGAAAACCTACATAGAAATTGAAATGAAAATCTAGAAGAAACTTTGCCTATCTGAAAAAGACATATACAATATACGTGAGACACACCCTGCCACAAACACGGCATACACGGCTCATCTCAGGACCAAATGAGCAAACAAAAAAATAAACACGGAATGCCATAAGAAAATGATAAGAGTGAAACAGTTCAGTAAGAAATCCTATAAAGGAATAGAAATTAAAATGTAGGCACGTGGTATTTTGAACACATTGGTATCCTACCACAAGCGTGACAAAGGTACAACTCATCTCAGTACCAGAAGAGCGCGCGAGAAAAAATGATCTCGAATGCCATCGAACGAGACAAAAATGCAAGACAATCGCAATCATGATGCTTCCAGTAGTTGCCACACACCACTTATGCATTTAGAAAGGGTTTTCGGGCGAAAATATGCCAAATACGAAGACAAGACGAACGCAACCAAGATAACACAGCGCTGATGCATTTTGCTTCTATCTGCCACAGAAGAACGATTGGTTCTTCTCCATGTGCCATCGCCGATGCGGTGTTTGACGAACGTTGATATTTTGCCAAAGGGTTCTGTTTTTCGTCCATGACCAAAGGTGTCTCGTTGGTAATTCGAAATTGTCAAGGAAGATCTCTCGTTGTCTGCCTCGGGGACTTTTGCCAGGTATTCTACCACTAAGGCTAAGGTTCTACAATGGATATACTCCACCATAAACGACTAATCATAATATAAAGGCCAAACTAGCAGTGCGGGTCTAAATTGTTACAGCATATGCAGTTCCTCTGTGACTTGTCAAAGTATATAATTGCAACTTTTGAACTCCATTTCTTTACATCTCTGCTGATGCAATTTTTCACGCAATCATAAACGTCTATGAAAGCTATTCCTTTCCTTTAAACCGTGTTCGACCCATTTAATCGCGGCTGTCAACACAGGACCAGAGTCGTGTCTATTTTCATATCACTTTCTTTAGTTTTTACGTATGGTTCTTCTGGATTGGACATAACTCAAATTTTAATTGAATACAGCTTTTAAACAATGCGTTATAAATGCAAAGAACAACCGACCTAGATTATAATCAGCTTGGAGCAAACAAAACAGCTTATTTTAGACAATGGACAAATGTTAACGGAACGCAGTTGTCTGCTAAGGAAGGTGCTGTGTTTCTAGTGCTTTCCGTTTATTCTTCCAAGTGTTTTGATATCAGATCCATCACAGCACAAAACTACAAAAAACTTTAACCAATTACCAGCTCCTGGTATTTACAGGGGTTGTACAAAATATTGATATTCTTCTTTTTTATTCAAAGGGGATTTATGTAGCCAAATTTTCACAATCACAACAAAGCTCTAATTTTTGGCTCAAAGGTAAATAAGACTAAACTTAATATGACTCAAAATTGTCATTTATTAACGACCAAAAAATAATATTATACAAAGTTACAAAAAAAGGGATAATAACACATACCCAATATTACATAATACCATAATATATAATAAGTAAACTTGGTTAATGTGTGCAGCCAACATTAATTTTAAAAAAATTTTGAAACAACAAAAGCTAATGCAGCAAAAAGTTGGCACAAATGAAAAATGAAGGCCAGAATTTAAGGGTTTTTTTTGGGGGGGACAACAATCTTTTGTCTACATTAGGATAAAGATTTTTTCAGATTTGTCAATTGCACTGCACATGACTGCAGGTCAAACCATCTTCTATGATTTTGAAACATATCGATAATGATATATAAAACGGTTAAAATTTTTAAAGATGCTTTTCACGGAGGATTTGATTTGGGCGCGTTCTATTATTTTAAGCGAAAGGCTGATATCTGGTAGGAAAAAGGGGTTCTAGATAAACGTTTGTTAAATAGGGTGAAGGGACTACATACCTCTAATATGTGCATGAAGATAAACAGTAGATGTTGTCAAAATACATACAAAGCAACCTGAGCGATCTGAAAAAGCAGTTTATGTTATAAGGTGATGACAAATTGCACTAAGCAAAAAAAGGTTAAGGACCTTTACAACAAAGTTCAATTTATTCAGTAGGCCGAAGGACGATGGTACTAGCCGTGAATCTTATAGTGAGAATGCTTATACAAAATTTAATTCCGGACAAGATCTTTATTGCAAACAGAAATTGTTTCACAGAATAAGGCAGGAGAGCACGTAGAGAGAAGCTATGGGAAATACAGACTCGTTACAATAAAATAGATAAAGGTTTTAAGGAAAATCTGAATATAATGCCTTGAAATCAATATAATGACCATTTTACTTGAACAAATCTGGTTCTCAGCAATTCCAGACCAATTTAACCATCTGCGTCCACGCCCGTATCACGTCTTACTTTGGGCATTGCTCTAGTGTCTGAAACAGAGTTGGATTATGAAATAGACGGGAAAGAATGGGTATCATATACGAACATATATCAAGATATTTTATAAATTTAATTTGCAATGGTTGACAATCATGGCCCTGGTTAAGATAATTTGAATAAACCTCAAATTGGGGTTAAGCATAATTTGATTGTAATTAAATTGAACGGAAGCTAAAAAGACGTGCATGCATTATATAAAGGGTTAACAATTAAGACCAAAACATTGTTTTTTTGTCTTGAGCAAAAGCGAAAATTGTCAATGTTCAGTTAGGTTGCGCTTGTCTTTTTTTCAATTTTCCATGACGCTGATAAGAGCTGCAAGTTTCATTCAGAGAATTTAACAAATATGATGTAATATGAAATGCAAATTTAAGGTGTGGAAATGCAGAATTCAGTATGTCAAAATTGAGTCACGCTTTATTCTTGCAGTCACTCCTTACCTGTTTTTAGATCACTGGATTATATCTCTGGATCAGTACTGGCGTCGTCAGCGTCCCTCACTGACCGTTTATTTGTACACTTGCACTTTGTTGCATATCTCCCACCCACACGCCCCACTTCTCTGTAATATGCAAATTTATTTGTGTAAATTACTTTTTCATGGTTTTATTTAAGTGGTCGATAAATATGTCGTGTGAAGTCAGGAAAACAAAACCATATTCGAGGACAAGTTTACTATTATATGTGGGGCGCAGGTTTGGATAAATAATTTGTCTTAATCTTTGTTGTTTTGGAGTTTGGGAGTAAATGAAGTAAGGATCTATCGGAGGGGTATGGTCCCGCTGTGCCCCCCCCCCCCCCCAGTATAAGCCCATTGAATACATACAGAAAATCACTAAATTTTGGACCGCAGTCACGTCGACATCCTCCATCACAGGCGCAGCCGAAAATATTACATCCGCCGTATCCGCAATATGGAGTCCCCTAAGGGCAAAAATAACACATCAATAAATGTGTTTAATTGTTAATGTAGCGAACAACAAAAATGTTTTAGGAAGTGAGGGAATTGTTGTTAAGTGCCATTTTCAGTGCTAGGAGGTAATTAATTATTGTTTAGCAACTTCAGAAGGCGTGTCAGTGATTTGCCAGTGATTTTTATTAAAAAAATCTTAGTTCAGATTTTATCGTTGATAAAGAAAAATGATGCTTATGTTTAATGCAGATCTGTAATTAGGGCCTCATAATTCCGTAAAAAACATTTAAACCAAAATGACGCCACGGGATTGTAGCCTGGTAACTTTCGTGATAAAATCTTGCTCAGGGATGAAGTTACATCCAAAACCGATTGCTATCTCACCTCAAAAAAGGCAGGTGTTAAATTGACGATTAAGTCATAGAGTTACCTATGCTTAAAGATTGCAACGAGAATTATAAACGCCGATATTTTATCTTTTCGAGGAATTTTTACATTGTTTTAAATCGGCACAAAGAAAGATGCATTACTGAATAAATTGGTGCAGAAAAAAACATTTTAGGTATCTGGATGATAATAAAAGAATACAATATCCTTAAACTTTATATGTTTCATATGTTGACAATAAGCTGAAAATAATACCGAATGTAGCAAAGTTGAGTTTCACATTCTGCCAAAAAAAAAACAAAAGTTAACAACTAAATGTAATGTGAGCTTTCCGAAAAATTTAATCGCTAATTAATATGGCATTTTATGCTCCAAAAGAACTATTGTTACGACTGGTTTTAAAACGCACATCTTTATATACATAAAGAAACATTCAAATGCCCACCCTGGTGCAGTCTGCGCAGTAATAATTGGAATGAATACGACAACAAGCAGATTCAGTTACTTCAATTACAGTGCATGTTAGAAATATTGCCACCAGAAAGCCAGCCAAAGTTCCTACCATCTTCTGAAATTTAAAACGAAAAATAATGTCATAGTCAAAGGTTTAGAGCAAAGATTATGGTATAATCAATACGGTAATTATAGTATTGTACATAACTTTTGAGTAGGCAAAGGAACCCGAGAAGCGATACATAGCGACAACTTGTTTTGACCTGTCAAGCAGCAAGAATTAGTGACAAGTAGAATTACGTGGCTTTGAATTTATTGATTTTTTTCAATCTGCTTTTGTTAACACTTATTTATTTTGTTATTGGTAACACTATATGTAGTAAAAAAAACCCCACTAAATGTGATATTCAATTCTTAAAAATCGATAATGATTTAAATGATTTAAAAATCCGCAATAGGGATGTAGTTC